CCCTAGATACGACACTACCAAAAATTGGTATTGTATGTTTTAGCTATACCTCAAAATTCCGAGGAATATTTGTTAATTGAGTAGACTCAAAATCTAGGTGGTTTTAGGCTACTCAATATGCACTTGCCACCTACAAATTTTCCACTAGGACATTTTTTTCCATTCGAGGATTTTTTTTCCTACCGGCTGTGTTCCTCCGGCTATTTTTACGATATATTTTACTTAGTTTTCCCACTGACTTTTTTAATCAGTATATAAACTGTTCCTTGGTGAAGTAACATCATACAAATATACTATAATTATGTGTATAGCCTTTATTGTTATTCTTGTTCAATAATGCAAGTTATAAGAAAGGCGGAAAAAACACAACCAAAAAGCACCGGCTTCAAAAATATACAGCTAAGAAAGATAGGCTTGTATTACGCTGGCTATATAAAACTACCGTTTTATCTGATTTTTATGGTCCCAAATGAAGTAGTCACCGAATGCTAAGGTCGTCGAAGTGCATGGTCGCCACCGATTGAAAAAAATTCCCGCTGCATGCTAAATGCTGCTAAATGCAATTGGTCGCAGAATGGTGAATGAGTAGCAGAGTGCTAGCCATATTTTCCGACGAAGGCACTGTAGGCGTTCCATACACGTGTTCCAATGGTGGGCTTTACTTATTGTTAAGGCTTGTTTAGGTAATGGTAATACGGTACAATATCCACATAAAATGCGTTTTGATAAATCAGTTAAAACGGAGGACACAAAATATGACGAGGATTCCTCACCAAGTGGTTGATATTAAGATTATTGAGAAGCGTTACTTCAGAAATAGTCTATAGACTAACATTTGGTTTCTGATATGACGGAGCCGGTAGAAAAGAGGTAAGGAGTACACTGTACTCTTAGGATTTATGTGCGATTTTCAATATTTGTATTAACGGCAGCCATAATAATAATACCATTACCGTACCGTACTATTATATAGCAACGCAACAATCACAAAGAGGTAAAATAGCGTTTTTACTGAACATTTGCAAACCTGCTCTGATTTACTTTTATTATTGAAATTAAATTGATTGTTGTAAAAAAATGAAGGATGTTCGCAACCTTACGAAAAACGATAACGAATAGGCCCCTATATCATTAACATTATCGTCATTCGTGCCTAAAACATTCTTAACAATATCATCTTATATAACGTAGCGGCGAATATGGTAAAATGCATTTTTGAGAAAAACGCATCTAAAGATTTTTGAAAATAATAATTTTTTATTAGCATACCTTTTTTTTTATGAAATTGTCTAAATTTCTCTATCACTATAGTGCATTACGTCCTTA